AAGGAAAGTCTTTAGCTCCTTTTCATGAAGAAGGAAGGCAGCAGCATATGCGAAAGGTGCTCGCGGCTGCGAGCCTCTCAACGTGAGGGTCCAGGGAAACCCGCCTGCCTGAGCCGCCCGAGAGGCGCCGGTTCTGCGGTGACAAATGCCACAGCGTTCCCGCAGCGAGACTACAGAGGCCCCGCTCGGATTCCCTCCTCCCGGCCTCCCGGAGGGCGGGTGCTGCGGGGGCTTCCTCCTGTCCTCCAGCCCATCCCAGAGGCGGTGGCCTTGCGGGGTCCCTGGGAGCCAGGCCAGTTTGTGCCCAGGCCCCCCGCCCGGACTCACACCTGTTCCCCAGCACAGATCCTAGCACAGCCATCACCGCCTGGGCCCTGGCTGAGCCTTCCGTGTTCCGCGTGGGGAGCCGCGTGGTGAGAGGACAGTCAGAAGCACGGCTCCGGTGCCACCGCATCAGGTGGCGTCCTGCCACCGCAGGCTGGGAGACCCTCTGACTCTGTAGGCAGCGCCAGGCCCCAGGGCCCTTCCTGTGTCCTGCTGGCCAACTTCGGTCACGGAAACACGGGTGGAGAATTCATCTGGAAAAACCGTTCAGCTCACGTTTTTATGTTTGTATCTATAAAACATTTTCGTACTTTAAAGTTTATCAAACCGGTATGCTCCTGATGGGCCAAGCCCTCAGATTAGTGGGTGTACGACGGTGCTGTGAGCCGCTGCTGTCCTACGGGGCTCCCTTCCTCCGGCGGGTGCTCTCCACGGCATGCCCCGTGAAGCATCCTGAGCGCAGACGGCCCTGGGGCGGATCTTGGCTCTTGTCTCCTTTTGCCTGGCTGGGAAGGAGGCAGGGTGAATGAGCAAGCCGCCTGCTCCCGCGTCCACACTTCCCGCTGCCTCTGGAGCACGGTGCGCCCCGCTTTAGTGACACCACAGGACAGCATCACTTCCTGCTTTGGTCCGCGCTGCCCGGGAGACTGCTTTTACCTGGCGCTTCCTGAACTCCGCCGCGGTGGAGGCTTCCCTGCCTGGTCACTGTCTGCCCCCAGCTCTTGGCCGGGACCCGGGGACCCTGGTCTGCAGCGTGGTGGACCTGCTCTCAGGTGGTCGCTCGTGTGCCCTGGGCTCCTGGACCTCACTGGAGCACAAAAGGCTCCTTTCCTGCTGTGAGGGACAGCACCCTGGGACCTGCTCTCCTTGGAGCAAGGACAGAAAGTCACAGGCCAGGAAGCCTGAGTGGGCTGGCTCCGGGGACCGGCTGTCGAGTGTGAATAAATGCTCCTCGTACGTGTGGACGTCTGATTACACTGCTCTCGTTAGATCGTGCGAGGAACTCCCTCAGAGGACACGCTGTCCCCTGCCGCATTTGCAGCCTCGATGTCCCTTCAGGAGCAGAGATTCCTACTCCACCCGACTCCCCCTCTAACCGGCCGCTCCGCCCGCCTGCGTGCAGGGCGATGTTTGAAGGAGGCTCCGCAGGAGAAAGATGCACGGGGACGGGAGCAGGACCAGGGACGCAAGTTCTGAACAGGTGGCGATACCTGGTCTGCGGGTGCGCTGACAGGAGGTAACGTGCCAAGGTGAGAGACGGGCTCGCCCCTCAGGTCCAGGTCCTGACCGCACCTGGAGTAGCATTCTCCAGGAGGCCAGGGCAGCAGCCTGGGGCGTCGGAGGCAGTGAGACCACACGCAGCGCTCAGCCCGCCCCTGGGCCCCTCTGCGGGGGCGGCGAGGCAGAGAGGAAGCACGCTCGGGTGCCACGGGGCCCGGACTGGGGCTGTTCCCGAACCTGGGTGTGGATCAGCTGCCTGCCGGGCAACCATGGCTCCGTGGCGAGCACGCCTGGGGCCTGGAGAGTTGGGTGCGTGTGTCCTGAAGCAGGTGAGGGTTTGGGGCAGGGTAGGGCTCCTGGGCCTGGGTGTCAGGTCAGGGCAAAGCGTGCGGCCAACTTGGGCACAGAGAGACGGGGGCCAGTCCCGTGCCTAGGCCCTCGGGCCCTCAGACTCGCTCTTTATCACAGCCAGGGGGCCAGAAAGCTCTAGAAATTCTCTGTGAATTCAGGTCGTCGTGTGCTTTCTCCCAGGGAGAGTGGCCCTTTGAATGCTAACTGCGCCGGCGCAGGACCCCGGCCCAGGGGGTAGGGCGCCCCAGGCCCGCAGAACACAGGATGGGCTGCAGGAGGCTCACGGCCGGGCTGGCTGCTCGCGCCGTGTCCCAGCAGGAACCTCAGCTTCCGCACTCGGCCCGGGAGCTCCGGGGAAGGCCTGCTCGGCCGTCTTCACGGCTGCCCCTCAGACCCAGAGGCTGCAGAGCACGCTGGCCCGCCGGGCGATCTGTGCCTCGGGCGCACACGCCGGGTCACCCCGAGGAGCTCTGGCGGAGGCGTGCCCCAAGTGGGCAGTAGCGCAGTCTTGGCCTCCTTTACTAAGTCACCGAGTCCGACGGCGTGTTCTCGGGCAGCGGTAAACCTGTGAGTGAGAGGTGTCTGACAAGCAGTTTCCGAGCGATGAGGTCTCCTGGCCACTCGACTGGGATTCAGGGAGTCAGGTCAACCAGCTTCCTTTGTCTGTCTCCCTGTCTTCACCCGGTGGGAATTCCTGACCAGGCATCACTTCCCTCCGCCCCGAGAGCGAGGAAGATCACGAGCTTCCCCTGCACTGTTTGCCACCTTCCACAAACCCACTGTGGAAGCCGGTACTTCTCTCCGGGATTTCTGTGTCTAGAGAGTTCTCTGTACGAGCTGGGGCCAGGAATGTCTGCAGGGAAATGTTCACACAGTCCCAGCCTTACACGACCTCGGTACTCGGTCGGATCCACGACTCCCGCTGCAAGACGTGCTTCAGGTCTCGGGATTCCTAAATGGAAATCCAGCATACATTCCTACATTCCTCAAATTATGTGAACCGAGACTCAGAAATGAAATTTCTGAGTTTGTCCTACTAGATTCCAGGCACAGCACTGTGTTCTCTGCTTGGCCTGTCCTGCTCTGCCTGCACGCTGACCCCAGGGGAGGGTCACCAGCATCCACCATGCACGGTTCAGTGGCTTGCCTGGGCTCACGTGCTAGCTGAGCACCGAGAACTGACCGAAACCCGGGTCTTCCAGACTCTACAGTGTGCGCCTGGATATCTACGCCATTATTTAGTGAAAGTGGCCCCTAAAAGCCCCACATAGAGGCCCCTGAGCACCCGGGCCTTCACTGTCAGACTCTCCTTGGACCCTAGTGCATGTCTCATCTACTTCCTGTGAACAGTATGGGCTGGGGGTGGGGAGGAGTAGGAGACGTGTGCACATGCGCATGTGTGTGGCATGGAGAAGAGGGGTGTGCATGTGTGTGTGGTGGGGAGGGGGGTGTACGTGTGTATGTGGATCACTGGGGGTGTAGGAGGGGTGTGTGCATGTGTGCGTGTTATGTGGAGGAGGGGTGTGTGTGCATGGACGACCAGAGGTGTCACACGTGTGTGCACGTGTGCATGGATGACCCGGGGTATAGGAGGGGTGTGTGCACGTATGTGTGTGTGTGTGTGTGTGTGTGTGGACAACCGCGGGTGCAGGAGGAAGGAGTGTGTGCACGTGTGCATGGACGACCGGGGGGTGTAGGAGTGTGTGCACGTGTGTGTGTGTGTAGGAAGGTGGTGTGCATGTGTGTGGACCTGGGGGAGTAGGAATGTGTGCTGTTGTGTGTGTGTGTGTGTGGAGGAGGGCGGTGTGCATGTGCATGGACCCGGGGGTGCATGAGGACAGGACCACCCTTCCGTGAGAACCCGAGCTCTGGGCTCAGGGGGCCCTTGTTCTTCCTCACCTCTCGGGCCTCGGGAGGGCTCACCTCACCCACCCACAGGGAAGCCTTAGCCTGCTAACGTGTGAAGTGGCGGGGGGCGCCCGCAGTGGAATGGTCTAGCACGGCACCCGCTCAGGGTGAGTGGTGCTCCGCAGACGTCTGGCCTTTCCCCGACCATCAGGGAGCGCCCGTTGCTCACCACCCTTTCCCCAAACCCGGCTCTGGGACATTATGGCAGAAACCCTAACAGACTGACGGTGTGTGGGGAGCAGAGGCCGCTGAGGCTCAGTGTGAAGGCCGGGTCGCCGTCCAGGGAGACCCAGGTGAGGAGCGGGGCTCATGCCTCTACCACCCGCCAGTCCAGAAGGGCGCATCCCAGCTTCAGCGACGTGCCCTCCCCTGCTGCAGTGCTGGGGCCACTGCCTCGAGCTGGACGTCCTCTGTGCAGTCTACGCAGCTTCACGTGCTCTTTCCAGCAAAGTATCAGCCGGTTTCTCTATTATTAGCCACGTTCTTTTTTTTTTTTTTTACTAAGATTTTATTTATTTATTCATGAGAGACACAGACGAGAGAGAGAGAGAGAGAGAGAGAGAGAGAGAGAGAGAGAGGGAGAGCAGAGGCAGAGGGAGAGGCAGGCTGACGTGGACTCGATCCCAGGTCTCCAGGAGGCCCTGGGCCGAAGGCGGCACTAAACCACTGAGCCACCCGGGCTGCCCTATCAGCCACGTTCTAATAAGATTCTCTATGGTTTTATCGGCACTTTTCTGAGGGCAACAGGATGACGTCTAAGGTAATGTGTTTCAGGGCGTCACCAATGAAGGTCTATGTAGATTCACATTCAGCAGTCGGGCTTCCCAATCACATCAAGGACTTCGTACCCAATACTGTCAAACCAGAACTACCCTAAATAACCTTTAAGAGACATTTGATGTGAAACTATTTCTTTTCCTTTTTTTTCTTTCTGAAGATTTTATTTATCTGAGAGAGACAGAGCAAGCACATGAGCAGGGGCGGAGGGAGAAGCGGAATCCCCACTGAGTGCAGAGCCTGACGCAGGGCTCAGTCCCGGGACCCCAGGACAACACCTTGAGCCAAAGCAGACGCTTCACCCACTGGGCCTCCTGGGGCCCTCTGTGCTGTTTCTTAAATACAGAACGAGCACTGACTCCCGGGCCCCCCAGGCAGGGACTGTGCGCCATAGCCCGTGCACCCAGTGCGGCCCCTACCTGGAGGAAGATCCGGCCGATGCCGCTCAGCAGCTGTGGCTCCTGCTCTGGGTAGTACTGGACAACTGAGTGATAAGCATCCACAGCCAGCACATAGTCCTACGGGGAGAAAAAGTGGAAGGGCATTTTTGAGTTAAGAAGATCACTCTCTGTCTTACGAAGTTAGAAGCTCAAGCACCTGCAGACTCACGTGTGCAGAGGGGGCACGCCAACACCCAAGAGGGGGGTGAGGTGAGCGCAGGCCCGCCTGACCACACGTCACACGGGGTTCCAAGTCCTGTTGGAAGCCAGAGTCAGGAAACCCCTTCCTCTCGCTGTGGGGCCTCTTGCTCCCACCATCTAGGTGGCAACGCTCATTCACCTGGACTGCCTCTCACTCTTCCTGACAAAATTATTAAGCGAATCAGTGAATTTCATCTTGTCACCATCTGCCAATTACACGCACCAAATTTATAACAAGATCTTAAATGTTTTCTATGCTAGAAATTGAGGGAAAGTCCTTAAGTGCAAACACACAGAAAACAGCACCAGATGCCCTCGCTGAGAGCAGCACAGGACCCTCGGCGGGGCTCACAGTGGACGCTGGCATGTGCTGCGGCGACTCTGCCGGAGTCAGAGGTGTGTGTGTGGGACACTGAACGGGCTCCGCTGGCTCCCGTGCTGCGCCTTCACCGCCCTCCCCTCCGTTGGAGCCCTGTCTGTGGCCCGACCATCTGCACTCCCTTGTGCCCAGAGCCGGCCCGTGGGGGGCACTCAGCTAATGCAGAGGGCTGTAAACCGTGTCCACCCACATGTGAGCGGTGGACCAGTCACCTCTCTCCAGTGTGAGAAAGTCACTTGCCAGAGTCACCTGGGACACAGCCCTTGGCTTGTCTCCGGTACCCACAAACCCAGGCTCCAGGGCACAGCAGTGATCACCGTGATGGTTACTGAGTAGGCTCTGTGTCGGGCGCTGTGTTTTCCCTGAGTTTACAGCACAGACGAGAAACACAGCTCCAGACGCACGTCCCTCCTAGCTCATTCTTCCTAACCCATGAGCACTTCCTTTATTCCTCCACATTTTCAGTCTGATCCAAACTGGGGCTGGAGTTAAAGATGGGTGACAAGTAAAATTCCAGTGTAGCACAAAAAGAATGAAAAAAATCTAGTCTGGCCCCTTTCAGTGAAGCTCATTAAGACAAATTTTATTCAAGATGTGATGCTCCCAGGACCCTGACAGCACCTGCCTTCCTTCCCTGTGGCTGCTCACTGTCTATCACTGCCGCCCACGGCAGCGCCATGCTGTTTCCAGTGTCATGTGTGCATGCACACATGTGTGAACATGCAGGAGCGTGTCAGCGAGTGTGTGAATGTGGGAGACATGGGGGCAAGGCACAAGTGTGAGAAAGCAAGCATGTATATGAGTGTGTGCACAAGCATGAGCAAGTGCGTGCATGCAGCCATGTGTATGAGAAACCAAGGGGGTACATGAATGTATGCACAGGTGTGAGGATGAACACAGGAGTAGTGTGAGCACAAAGGGGTATGCAGGCATGAGCATGTGTGAGCAAGTATGTGCATGCAAGCATGAGCATGAGAAAGTATGCACACAGGTATAAGTGCAAGTGTGGGCATGTGCGTGCAAGCCTGTACTCACAAGCAGGAGCAGGTATGTGCAGGAGTGAGTGTGCAAATGTGAGCATGTATGTGTGCTAAGTAGGAGCAGATATGTGCAGGGGTGAGTGTGCAGGTGTGAGCGTCTGCAAGCATGTACTTGCAAGCAGGTATGTGCAGGGTGAGTGTGCACATGTGAGCATCTATGTGTGAGTGTATACTCACAAGCATGAGCAGGTATGTGCAGGGGTGAGGGTGTGCCTGTGAGCATGTGTGTGCAACTGTGTACTCATAAGCACGAGCAAGTATGTACAGAGGTGAATGTGTAGATGTAAGCATGTATGTATGAGCGTGTATGCACAAGCATGAACAGGCATGTGCAGGGGTGTGTGCATGTGTGTGCAAGCGTGTACTCACAAGCACAAGCAAGTATGTGCAGAGGTGAATGTGTGGGTGTGAGCATGTATTGTATGAGCATGTACTCACAAGCATGAGCAGGCATGTGCAGGGGTGAGTGTGTGCACGTGTGCATGTACTTGCAAGAGAGCAGCTATGTGCAGGGGTGAGTGTGCAGGTGTGAGCATGTATGTGTGAGCGTATACTCACAAGCTGAGCAGGTATGTGCAGGGGTGTGGGTGTGAGCGTGTGCTGAGAGGCACCCTGGTGGGGAGGCAGTGCTGCGTCCTGCTCGGTGGCTGGCATGGCCCTGGGGCGGCCGGGGCCCCCAGCTGAGAGCCCACGAGCTCCAGGCCCCCAGACCTCTGTGGGGGGGGTCACTTGCTGTAATGCGACACCTACCCTTACTGCTGGTTTAGAGCGAACAGAAGGCAGACCTGCCGTTCTTGTTAGTGCTGCAGTGTCACTGAGGCGCGTCAGCCGTTGTGCCCCAAATCTTGGCTTGTGTGTCACTCACTCTCACTCTAATGACGCTTCCAGCTGAGCTGGCACCGCAGAGAGCCAGAGCCAGGGTGTGGAGGGCGGCTGAGTGCCCACTTCCGGCTGGCAAGTCCATGGAAGCCCATGTCACTGCCTCGTGGCTCTGGTTCAGCCCTTGAGGCCGGGTGAATTCCAAAGATAATTTGAGACGGAAAGGACAGCTTTAAAAAGCCAGGCAATGATCCCCGCGGATCTGTGGAAACACGAGTCTCCTGGGAGAGTAAACCAGGGCAGAGCCACAGGCGTGGGAAGCACGTGGGAAAGCTGGCTTCCTGGCAAGAGGTCAGGCCGCAGAGGAGCAGGGGCTGCGGGGCCGCCACGAGGTCGGCTGTGGGGACAGGTGCCCGCTCCTGCCGCCTGGACGGGACGTGGCCTGGGAGCAGCTGCAGCCTCAGGGATGGGCTCAAGGAGCTTCTATCACATGAGGCAGAGCAGGAGCGTGTCGGAAAGCATCCCTAAGTGGACTGTCATTACCTGAAATGGTTTATTTACTGGAAGTGGAGGGAACACGGCCTCTTAAAAGGAGGATGTCTCCGCTGAGCTCTCCGAGTTTACTGCGCGCTGCAGAGCACGCAGGCTGGCTCCGAGGCAGGCCACGAGGGACGGCTTACAGGACAGGCCTGTTTTAGTTCCGCGCTCACCCTTCTCCTACAGCAGCTACGTGGGTTTGGTGGCCGTGAAGCTGGATTTACAATGGTTTGCAGTCAGAAAGGGTTTGTGTGCAGTGACAGAGGCAGGAAGAACCTGGTGTCACCTGTGTGGGGTGGGGACACATCGGCCTCGGCGCACCTGAGGCGGTCGGCGGCACACCCAAGCGGCCGGCCAGCGTGGGCGCCCTAGCACTACCACGGGTCTAGGGAAAGGGACTGGCATTTAAAATGTGAGACAGGAAATCTCCCAGGCCTCAGAATGCACGTCACTGGGCCCAACAACACGTCTTGCGGGTATCTGGGGCTGAGATGCCTGAGTAGATTTCTCATCATAAAAAAGTATTTCTTTCACCGCAACAGAACGTTATTCAAAATAACTGAATGGCTGATGACATAACTCAGTGTCGCCCCACAAACATCTAAGGCATACACCAAGGCCTCACGTGCTCACCGACAGCCAGGGAAGGCGTGTGCACGTGCTCACTCAGGCCTCCATGGCACAATTTTCACTTTTTGTAACTCATGAAAATGAAAGATTAGCTGAAAATTGCAAATTACACTGCATTCATCATAAGGCATTTCTGAAACAATGATAGGTTGTCTTGAGTCCCAACGATGTAGGTGGAAACTTCCATTTGGTGCTTGACGGTGTTCTTACCACCACAGTGCAAGAAAGACAAGCACTTTTATCCCATAATCTTCTATTAATGTGTCTTAGCGATGCAAATAAAAATCTACCAGTGGAACAGGTAACTTCCCTCCGGGGGGTTTTAGCCCCATGATTAATGAAACGTTGGCCCTGTAGATTTACAGTTTGCTCTTTGTTTGCAGAAGCCGGTGCGGCAGCTGCAGTGGCCCCAGGGCAGCGGGCTGGACTGTGGGTTCCAGAGCTGGGAGCATGGCCTGTGGAGGGGAGGACGGGACAGGGCCTGGCTCCAGGGAAGGACCTGCCCGCTGCCAGGGCCGTGGGGGTGAGGGCACAACTGCTCTCCTGCCCACACACGTGTCCGGGGCAGGCTCAAGGCTCGGGTACAGGAGCACGAGCGCTGCGGTCACTGCACGGGCTGCCACCCTGTCAGAGCTGCTGGCTGTGCACACAGAAGGCGGAATGCTCTGAGCTCCTCCACCCACACTGCCCTCACCCTGGGTGCTGGGGGTGGGGGCGGGCGCTTGCAGGAATGTCAGAGCCGGAGGGGCTTCAAACACGGCTTGGGGACATGAAGGGCGCTGCAGAGTCACTGTGCCCCAGTGTCTCGCCTCTGCTGGAGCCACCTGGATGGGAGCCATGGGCACAGCCAGGGCAGACTGCTCTGAAGCAGGTTCAGGCCGCCCGTCCTCTTCCTGACTGAGTGCGCACGGGCTGTGCTGAGAATTCAGCCCTCCCACAGGGCTGCCAGGGGCAGGTGTGTAAGGTGGCTGTCACGCCAGGGCCAGCCGCTGGACTCCGCCACCCGAGGAACTGCCTGCTGGGCTTTGCTGAAGATCGAGCTCAGGAATGACCTTGGCCTGACCTGTGGGGGACTCAGGGTCTGGGTCTCATGACAGCCCAGAGGTCTGTGGCTGGCAGCTCGCCCCGTCCGCACCCCCCCCCCCCCCGCAACCCGCAGCTTTGGCAGCGCCACCAGCGGGATGCAGGTCATGCAGGTCACCAGGCGGCTGTGCTGCAGGTTCCCATCAGAGGGAGGAGCTGCCAACACTGCTCTCAGCTGCAAGGGCCTGTGTGAGACGAACAGGCTGGAGGAAACAAAGGAGCAACGCCTGAGTTCAGCCTCCTGGGGTGTGAGCTGCGCCCTCCAGGGCAGAAGGCTCCGGGTGGCGTCCCTCAGACGCAGGTCTTACGGGGGTGGGGAAGCCACGGGCATCCGTCAGCACGTCTGGTCAGGACAAGGGAAAACAGCCCCCTACCACGGGGAGGGCAGGGCCACCTTTCTGGGATGGAATCTAGAGGAAACTATGCGAGAGCGAGGGAGGATGAATGATGATTTTAATTAAATCACCGAGACCCAAGCTGGAACAATCGAACTCGACAATGTAAGCTGTATATTCTGCTGAGATGTCTTTCAGTATAAACTAACGCCGTGCACGGATGTGGTACGCAGCCCTCTGCTCGGTAAAGCCTCCCGCCCACCGCGGGGCACTCCTGCACCCGTGTCCCAGCCGGGCCCCGCAGCTTCTGCTGACACCCTCCTCAGGACGCACGTACCTTCATCAGGAGCAGGCAGTTTGCCATGGAGCACATCACCCGGCCCAGGCGGGACCTCCACAGCTGAATGGAGGCTGCAAGAGAGGGGCAGTGGTGAGCGTGCGCAGGTCGGAGGCACGTCCTGGCTCTCGGCCACGGTCTTGGCCCCGGGGCTGCTGGGCACCGGGCATCAGGCCAGGGCTCTTGGCTCTGGGTGGAGGATGGATGCAGAAGTGACATGGCAAGAGCAGGAGGGCAACCGGTCTGCTCGGGGCAGACGGGAGACCCCACAGCCCAACCAGCACCGCACTCAGAGAACGAACACATGGGCTCGCCTGCAGTCTACCCAGTAGAAAAACAGGCATGAAATTTCAATAAAAATCTCATTAAAAAAGAGTAGCATAGGGGCACATGGGTGGTTCAGTCAGTTAAGCACCCAACTCTTGATTTTGGCTCAGAGTCTGCTTGAGATTCTCTCCCTCCCTCTACTCCTCTCCCCCGTATCACATGCACACACACACTCTCACTTTCTCTCAAATAAACAAAATCTTCAAAAAAAGAGTAGCTAGATGGCCAATATATTCATAAAGGAAAAAAACCCGCTCAATATCATTAGATATTGGGGTGCCTGGGTGGTACAGTCAGTTGAGCACCCAACTCTTGGGTTCAGCCTGGGAGGTGATTGCATGGTCACGGTTGAGCCACTGCCCAGGGCTTAGACACTGCCCAGGTGAGCTGCAGGAGGTGCCACCCACCTGCCTGGGGGCACCGTCCCGCCCAGCTGTGGCACCTCCTGCTGTAGGGCTGGCGGCTGGCTCACCCACCAGGGTGTCTGCGTGCCCAGCTCTGCTTTCCGAGGTCTCCTTCTCCAGGCCCTAACTGCACAACCTCTTAACTGAAAAACCGTAACTCCAATCCTGCCTTCACAGGCTCTGTAAGCATCAATGTGGGAAGGGCACAGAAGTGCTGCCTAAAAGGTCAGGAGCACCCTCACATGAGAGGGAGGATGGCAATGACGCAGAATCGGAGCCGGCTCCCTGGGGGTGTCTGCCCAGTGGTGGTTTATGGTCACACACATGGCCCAGGAGGAAGGTGGAAACGCTCCCAGGGAAGCATGGAGGGATGGGAAGGAGGGTCATAATGGGGGCTGTGGGGAGCACAGTCGGAGTGGAGAAGGCAGGGGAGCACGGTGGGAATGGGGAGAGTGGGAGTACAGCAGATGAGGAGGAAGGCAGGAGTGGGGGGACATGGGGAGCACAGTGGGAGTAGGGAGGGCAGAGGAGCAGGGCGGGAAGGGGAAGAAGGGTGGGAGTGGGGAGGACAGAGGAGCAGGGCGGGAAGGGGAGGAGGGTTGGAGTGGCAAGGATGGAGGCGCAGGGTGGGATGGGGAGGAGGGTGGGAGTGGGGAGGACAGAGGAACAGGGCGGGAAGGGGAGGAGGGTGGCAGGGCCCCTGTGCAGGATCAAAGGGTTCAGCTGAGGGCTGGAGTGGGGAGGGAGCCTGACCGGCCTCACCCTCATCTGCCCACTTCCAGAATCTGACCTTCCCGCCATGCCCTGACCGACGTCATCTGAGGGTTCAGCAGTGCCTGGAAACTATGCTCGTCCTTGGACCGCTTCGGAACACAGGTAACTTAATTGCCAAAGTTAAGAACTCAACTCACTTTGCCTTTCAGCAATTAAAAATACACTAACTGCTTACAACATCGTTTTGTGAAAAGGAAAATTCTGAACAGTATCTTGTTGAACGTAAACGGTGGGCTGTCTCAGCGAAGTGCAGCGTACGTACCCACGGACTTCTCCAAGTGCAAATTCTTCCCTATTCACCCTGAAATCTGTTTATCTTGACCCTTAGGACCAGGAAGTGGCTCCTGAGATCCAGTCCCTACCTGCTTTCGCGGGAATAGTGACCACGTGCAGACAACACCAGGGAGGTCGGAGGGTGAGGCCGGCCCTCCTCAGACCCACCTGCAGCTACAATGCCGAGAGGGATGTGCGTGCATGCACACACATGTGCACACACATGCACACACTCCCTACAACTCTGGCTGTAGGTTGGGATTTCTCAAACAAAGGTGCTGTGCTTGCTGCATACGTGCAGCCCAGTGCTGTTGGCCCCCAAGCCAAACATCTCCTGCCCATGCTGTTCTCTCCCTACTGCCCTCCGCCCGCAACACCCATGCTCATGGGCCATCCAGGGTCACCACGGTCCCGGGGGCACCAGCATGGCTCTCTACCTGCAGTGTTCCCCTCCCCAGGCCACGTCGCCTGCCTCAGGCCCATCGGTCTACTCGGAGCAGCTTCAGAGGAAGCCCATCACTTGCTAGAATAACCCACGCTGGCCAGAGGTCAGCAGAGCACGCTCCGAGTCAGGCACACAGAGGTGGAAACGGCCAGGCTCCTGGAGGTGAGACATTGTGGGACTGGTGGGGAAAGGAGACGACGGGCCTTGGGGAAGGAGCGGCAGGTGAGGGGCCTCTCAGGGAGGCGCCATTTGAGTTGGGCTTTGAAGCATAATTAGAAGTTCATCCCTAATGTTCTCAATACATCGCTGCCAGGAAGGTCTTCTCAACGTGCAGTCGGCTCCCAGCAGCCCGTGCTTGGGGTCAAGGCTGAGTTCATCAGCCTGGCCTCCTGGGCTGTGGCTCTGGCAGGTAGCCCCCACCCTGGGGACGCCCTTCCCACAGGAAGGTCTGGCTCCTCTCTGTCTCAGCACCCTTCCACCTACTGTGGAAGCCACCCAAGGCTTCTGGATCACGGGGTGCAGGCGGGTCTTCTGTACCCGATGGGGCTCCTGGGCAGGACCCACACCCACGTTTGCTCTTCATGCATCAGCAGTGCCAGGTCCGGTGCTTGCCAACGAATGCATGCAAGGACCAAGGCATTACCGAGCAAGAAGGGAAAAGGAGACTGAGACAGAAGAAAGGCGAATCTTCTGACAACGCTGGATAATTATTTAATGAAAATTCTGGCCACTGACCTTGTCTGTTCTCCTGTGTGATGCTGCTCATGCTCCCGTCTTCAGCTAAGCCTTGCTCCAAATTTGTCAGGATCTGCAGTAATTCCAAATAAGAACGAAAAAATCATAAAAAATGAATTTGCTTTTAGACTTTGTCATAATATATTCCAAGAGAAGCAGATTACTCTGTACGAAAGCCAATTTGTCAAGGAATGTTTCACACGGACACATTTTAAATACCACCATTCCCTACACAGGGAGGCGCAGCAGAGGGGAAGCCATCCTCTAGATGTGGAGTTGGGTTTATGATGCTCATAAAGCACTCAGAGACATCAGACACAGGGTAGCTGTTTTCTCTTTTTAAGAAAAGCATCAAGTATGTCACACACGAGGCTGATTATTAACTTCTGTGAAAACATCAGTCTTATTCCTCCAGGGCACCATGAGGGATGTGGCCTCTTAAAACGTATCAAATATATATTCTGAGCAACTGTCACTTTACATGGTTTCCGTTGTTTGGTTAATAACTTTGGGCTGCTTCTTTTGTGTTTTGGCCTTTCTTGAAAAGAAAAAAAGGCTGTTTCCACTGGAATCTGGGCAGAGGATGGTTTTTTTGAGTGGCAGGACGAGGAGAGCAAAGCGTGGAGACTACAGACTTTGCTAGGGAGAAAACCGAAGTGTTAATTGAAGAAAGTCTGTATCCCAGTCCTGTTGCTACTGCCTTCAGGGCATGTGCTTGTGGGAAGAAATCCTTCTGTTCATCGGACTGTCCTGCCAGTTAACGTCTCCCCCAGTGACTCGCCCGTGAGGAACCGGCTCTGGGCTTTCCCGTGTTGGGTCCCAGCAGGGAGGGTGAGCTGGGCCTCTCTGCACCTGCAGGATTCCCTGCAGTCAGAGGCCTGGGCCACTCGCGGACTCTGGATGCGCTGGGTTCAAAACCACGATGGCAAAGGTCATCTAGTGACGCTTCTTAGCTAATCTGTCTTCTGATAAAGGAACATGAACACAGAAACTGACCCGGGAAAGAAGTCTTGATGGTACCACTGAATTAACCTTGGCTGGGGCGGAGGGTGGGCAGGGCAGGAGACGGGGCAGCAGTTACTGAGAGGAGCAGGTGGCAGGCATCCTCCCGGTCCCTAGGGCCCACCCCCAGGGTCACTGGGTGGGACGCGGGGGAAGCATAAAACCAACCACAGCAACAGAGCTGGTGAGGAGGAGTCCTGCAGAGGCAGGCAGCAGACGCCATGAGGGCAAGCATGCATGGGCCCATGGGTTGGCCTCATGCCACGGCATCCCTGTGGCTGCTGAGAACCCGCTCTGGGGCCCTGCATCTGCAGCCTGGGCCGAATCACAGGACACTGTGTCAGAGCAGTGACTGAGGAGGAGGGAGAGGGGCGGGCCACTCCGGGGAGGCTACAGGAGGAGAAATGCCCAAGGAAAGAAAGCGGGAGCCCCCGCCCCTCTGATGCCGGCGCAGACTGTACAGGCCCAGTGTGCTTACCTCTAAGGCGGTAGTTCTGTGAAGGAAAGTGACACAAACACTGCCTACGCGAAGCCTGAACGGTCTTGTCTGCAACCGTGGTAAGATCCCACTTCCCTTCTCCATCCCTCTGTCCCTGACAACATGACCGAGGCCCGCGTCCAGGTCAGACACTGGCAAGCACTCCTGGGTCTGCTCCCCACAACAAGCAAGGCAGGATGCACCCCCTGGCTTGCAGGGAGCACCCCATTTACACCTGCCTCAAGATCCTGTAAGTTCATGGGCACCGGACCGTACACATGACTTTGACATCTAGGTTCTGATTTGTATGCCTCTGTGGGCTGTGATCCCAAAGCCCGTACTTCTGATGAGCTTCAGGTGACACTCTTGGGACCACAGCTTGTAGGAAAGCCCTGGGGAAGGAGCCTTCTACCTCTCTCTTTGGTGGGCTGCCACGGATTACAGGTGGCATGGGGTTCTTTTGGGGAATGGGTTTTATGCACAAAGTATCCTATGTACAAACAACTGGTGGCTGGCCCTAATTCAAGGACCAAAGACTCACTAAAAACCTACTTGAGTCCAGACCAAAGTGACAGCAGGCCCGCCCTAGAGGGGCTCGGATTTCTCTAGAAAGTCCTGGGCCCTACTGTCGTCTCCTGCTTGTGCACTCTGAGCATGCACGGGCCCAGAAGCCTGAGCGTCAATGGCAAAGGGCAGAGATGCCACCTCGAGCCAGGAAGCAGGAGCCGTCTCCAATCACTCAATTACCTCTCTCCACTTGCCAATCACTCCCATCTCATCTGATTAAGCCACAGACAATTTGCTCTCTGCTGGAGCAGCAAGGCAGGGCACGTGCGCTGTGTGGGTCAGGTGAGGCCTGGCAGTGCCCAGACGTCGTCTGTGTGCCGATGACCAGCCTCCTTGAGCGCTTCCCTGGGGAGCTGGCCAGTGAGGGCTGACAACAGCTGCTCCCGGCTCCATTTTTAACTAAAGGATATTAACCCTTCCCAGAAACAAAGCTCTCACCACTGCCTTATCAGCAGTCATCAGCAGGGAACAAGCCGTACGGACCCCGCTAAAGGTACTTCTTTTCCAGGGTGCACACACGCTCTAAGCCTCTGGCTCCTTCATCTGTGGGGGTCTCTAATGTAGCACTTCTTTTACAAGCTACCCTCCACCAGGCCAGCCTGGAATGGGCGGAGGCTGCTGTGTCGTGGGAGGGATGGAGCTGGACTCAAAACCACACCCGGTGTGTCCGTATCAGTGACGGACCCACAGTGGGAGCTCCTTTGGCATCATTATTTGGCATCATTAGTAGATCAGGATCTACTAATGCACACGGCGCTGGGGAGGTGCATGCTCCTGGCTCTTTCCAGGCCTCTTTAAAGGCCTCTTGGGGCTGGTGGCAGAGGCAGGCTGCAGAGAAGCCAGAGAAGCAGGGCCCGCAGGACGGAGGCACCCGCTGCTCGGACCACGGTCACCGTTTCCAAGGCCTGGTAGCACGGCCAATTTGTTTTAAATCGAGGCACATGTCACTCCTCATTGACAGTTACACTGAACCAAACAGTTCCTACCTCGCCACACAGGCTCTTGCCAGCCTCGACTTCAGAGACAGCTGGGAAAACTGTTCCCTGGGATCACGTCATAAAGATCACAAGGGAAGCTGGGCCTGTGCTGAAATTCACGGCCACGACCCAAGCTCAGGCTTACTGGTCGGATACAGTCTATAACCATCGTCTGGGGAATGTTCCCTATGCTGAAAAGCCGAGCCTCTTCTGAGCAACAACTGGCTTGCGGACGCGGAACTCCAGAGCTGGCGTGCTTCCCGCGCTGCTCTGGCTCCCTGTCCTGTCCCCGGGTGCCCCACTGCCTTACCTTACCTCCCTTTCTCCTGCAGGATCGTTTAGCTCTTTTCAATAGAAAAAAAAAGTCTGATTATAAAACTAATATATGCTAACATAACTAATAAAAGACAGAAAATAAAAAAGAACAAAATGGCCTGTGTTCCTGTCACCCACACAGCTCACAAGATGCTGTGGCTTCCCTTCGGTGGATGTGATTCACTTCACTAAGACCATACTGCAACTCTAAGTCTGTAGGCTGGCCTGAAAATTAGCATTATGTCACCAACATTCCATGTTGTGGCTGTGGGGCTGAGGTAACCGTGTGGAAACCACATCATGCCTTGACCCCTAGGCCTGGCCAGTCCTGGGACACCCATGTCTGGTGCCCTCCTTCTGGGGTTAAGGTGGCACAGAGTGCAATCAGGGGGAGACCTCTATCTCGGCATGTCCCCCAAGAAGGCGGGTGACAGGACTCGCAGGCCCAACCGGGCTGAGGCCATGGTAGCAGGTGACTTCTCCCCATGCACCCCCGGCCGCTCCTGCCTCCCACGCCTCACTGCGGCTGCCACAGAAGGCTGTCACTTCTCGTTTGGGAAATCATGCTGGGACTGAACCTGCTCTTGTGGCAACTATCAGACCGCATGGCTCAGAGCGTATTATTGGCACAAATGGGAGTGTGCTCTGAGCAGCCTGACGCGCCTCAGCTGACTTTCTTCCCAAGGGATGACAACCTTCCTGCTCCACATTCAGCCCTTCCCAAGCATTTCACTCCACAACCACTGCTGACCTCCAGGCTGCGAAAATGACCTCGGTGACCAACAGGCACCATGCAAGCATTAAAACACATGGGACAGATTGCTCTGTGGGGAACCTGCTTATCTGCTGGGGTGACGGCGAAGAGACCTGAGGGCGCTGCAGGCCCCGGCATGCCCTCTCCCTTTCTCTCTTTAGCGCCAGCCAGTCATGTGACATGAGATTGCCTCTCTTTGGAGGTGGGGCCAAATTTTAAGCTGGCACGTAAGGAACACATAGAAATTACATGTTGAAATTAGCCATGAACATCCTTTTGGCCAGAGACCAACACACTATCTTCCACAACCAACTGCTTGTCTTTCTTCCAGAATAAGGACCACTTGCCATTTCATCAATTAGGCACCAGGAGAAGGATGGGCTTACATCTGGGTCACGCAATAAGAGAAACATCTACTGGTGCACAGTGCAATTCCGTGATGTGTGGCGGGATGCTCCCACGGTGAGAAGCAGGTGGCACCCGAGAGACTCAAGTCACATGCACACTGGCAGCGGGTCCCTGCACTATTTCTGCCTTGTCTCCTCCAAGCGTGTCAGCCTACAAGAAATGCTCCCGGGGTATGATTGCACTACACCTGCTTTACCTCTCATACCCATGCTGAGCTGTCAGCTGTCATCACTTGGCCACTTTGGGATGAAACCACCTGAGTCTGAGGAGGGGCCCAGTCCAACAGAGCACAGGCATGATCCCCTCTCTGGGGATAGGTCCGTGCGAGAGGCATTTCGATCACAGTGAGACGTGTTCCTACTGGACGGAGCAGAGATGCTGGCATGGGGAGGAAGATCTTAGGCCTTTCTCATTTCAACTGGGACATGGCACAGGGAGGGCAGGTTTTGATTTTGAGCACAGACCCCACAGCCGGACAACTTGGGTCAAATTATGTGATCACGGGCAAGTCAGCCTCTCTGTACCTCAGGTCGCTCAGCTGTAAGTGGGGTAACAGAACCCCTAGTCATAGGGTTTGTGTAAGGATTAAATAAGCTATAATTGAAAAATGCTTAGGACCAGAGACTGGTTTCCAGCAAACACAATGTGTTTAGTACAACGAGTACGAGGAGCCTAGAGCAGTGGTGGCAGAAGACCTGCCTTCCCCTCCCATCATTACCCTGCATCCCGTGCTTAAGGGGCTCAATAGTGAAGATACAGGATGCCTCACTGCTGGGAAAATGAACCTGCAGAACTCCTGTTTCTCTCCCACCCTCAAGTCCCTGGAACACTTAGAATTCCCTCTCAAGTACATAAAATGCCCTGAAGTGGTATGGAGGCAAATCATCTGTGTACAGTGTGGAAAATCACTAACTTCACATTTCTCATTAACAAGTTATGTGTTTCTTATTTCTGAAAATAATTATTTCTTAACTCTGTTTCAAGGTTCAAGGAAAAAAGTGCTAGAATAAAAAAAAATGTCAGTTAATGCAATTTCCCTGTCAACTGATCAATCAGTGTATAGGAAAACAGGGTTTCTGTTGATCTCTGGAGTTCTAGGAACCAGAAGTTGGTACACAGCTCGAGGGTGTAAGGTGCCCAGGACACCTGCCTATGCTTGAGTGAGGTCCACTCTGTGCAGGGAAGAACCCACTACCTCCCTGCTGCGGGTCCTGAGAATACCACCTTCTGTGGAGAACTTCCACAGAACTTCCATCAAGAATAGCTGGAAATGGAGGCGTCTGGGTGGCTCAGGGGTTGAGTGTCTGCCTTTGGCTCACAGCATGACCCCGGGGTCCTGGGATCATGTACCACAGTGGGTTCCCCGCAGGGAGCCTGCTTCTCCCTCTGCCTGCGTCTCTGCCTCTCTCTGTGCCTCTCATGAATAAATAAATAAAATCTTAAAATAAAAACAGAATAACTGGAAATGGAAAGGGGAACTCAACAAATATAACCTCATTTAAAAAAGACCTGTGACGTGCTGCTGCTCCTAACTGCTTGTTGTTACAGTTGTGCAAGCCCTCCACAGACATGACTTCACTCAACTTGTCCAGCAGCACCGCACGGCAGGCAGGAAAGGCACTTTACTTCCATCCCAGGGATGAGAGATCTGGGAGGTGGGGTGGTCCACAGCCTGGAGACGCAGAGACTCTAAATCGCTTATTTCCTGCTAATATTACTGAATGGAATAATTTGATCTTCTGTTGATGCAGCTTGGTACCTTCCATATAATTGTTACTTTACAACCAGGAACAATTCAGAAAGCACTTCTGAACTTTATCCGCCTTTGGAGTCAGTATTACAAATGACAGTTGTCATTATACAATATAATTTGCTTTGATTCTGGAACATTTTAAACCATTAGCTCTTTAAATATTGCCCCAGTGCCTCAGTAATAAAGGAGATAGGTGCTTACAGTATTTGCAGGACCTGTGAATGGCCTGCTACATTTAAGGGCATACGATTTTTACACAAGAGAATATTTCCTTGCTTTTAATTTACCAATAATAGTAAGGAAGAATTACATGCCAGCAAACTGGACAACCTAGATGAAATGGATAAATTCCTAGAAACATATATACTCCTCCAAGACTGGATAAGCAAAAAATAGCAAATCTGTACAGACTCACTACTAGTAATGAAACTGAATCAGTAATCAAAAAACTCCCACCAAACAAAACTCTAGGCTCAGATGGCTTCACAAGTGGAGTCTACACAACATTTTATTTTTATTTTTTATTTTTATTTTTTAAAGATTTTATTTTTTCATGAGAGAGAGAGAGAGAGAAAGAGAGAGAGAGAGAGGCAGAGAGAGAGGTAGAGACACAGGCAGAGGGAGAAGCAGGTTCCATGCAGGAAGCCCGATGTGGGACTCGATCCCGGGTCTCCAGGATCACGCCCCGGGCCGAAGGCAGGCACTAAACCGCTGAGCCACCCAGGGATCCCCTACACAACATTTTAAAAAGAGTTAATACCTATTCTTCTCAAACTATTCCATAAAACTGAAGAGGAAGGAACACTTCCAAGCTCATTCTACGAGGCCAGAATTACCCTGATAATCAAAACTAGACAAAGACACTAGGGAAAAAAAAGGAAAAGAAAATCTCTGGCTAACATACTTGATGAATATAGATGCCAAAACCCTCAACAAAGTATTAGCAAACTGATTTCAACTATATAATAAAAGATCAAACACCATGATCAAGTGGGATATGTTCCAGGGATACAAGGATGGTTCAACATCCCAAAATCAATGTGATAAATCACAATAACAAAATAAGGAATAAAAATCCTATGATATCCCCATAGATGCAGAAAAGGCATCTGACTTAATGTCTGTTTATGATAAAAGCTCTCAGTGAAGTGGATACAGAGGGAATGTACCTCAACATGATGAAAACCAGATATGACAGGCCCACAGCTAACATACTCAATGCTAAAAGACTGGAAGCGTTTCCTCTGAGATCAGGAAAAAGTGAAGGCTGCCCACTGTGACACTTTTATTCAACATATTATTGGAAATCCTAGCTGCAGCCATCAGACAAGAAATAAAAGGCATCAGGGACGCCTGGGTAGCTCAGTGGTTGAGTGTCTGCCTTTGGCTCAGGGCGTGAACCCGGGGTCCTGGGATTGAGTCCCACATCGGGCTTCCCGCAGGGAGCCTGCTTCTTCCTCTGCCTGTGTCTCTGTGTCTCTCTGTGTGTCTCTCATGAATAAATAAAATCTTAAAAAAAAAAAAAAAAAAGAAAGAAAGAAAAGGCATCCAAATGAGAAAGGAAGTAAAACTGTCACTATTCAGATGACATGCCATGTATAGAAAACCCTAAAGCATCCACCCAGAAACTATTAGACCCAATAAATGAATTCATTAAATTTGCAGGATACAAAATCAATATAAAGAAATCTGTTGCATCTGTGTACAATAATACCAAACTTCAGAAAGAAAAATTAAGAAAATAATCCCATTTATAACTGCATCAAAAAGATAAAATATCTAGGAGTAAATTTAGCCAAGGTGAAAGCCCTGTATTCTGAAAACTGGAAGATGCTGATGAAAGAAACTGAAGACGATGTAAATAAATGGAACGATATTCTGTGCTGACAGGAAGAATGCTGTTAAAATACCTGAAGCAGTCTACAGATTCAACGCAATCCCTATCCAGACACCAAAGGCATGTGTCACAGAGCTAGAACAATCTTACAATTTGTATGAAACCATAAAAGACCCTGAATAGCCAAAGCAGTCTTGAGAAAGAATAACAAAGCTGGAGGCATCACATTCTCTAGTTTCAAACTATTCTAGAAGCTGTAATAATCAAAACAGTATGGTACTGGCACAAAAAGAGACACAGAATAAAACAGGATAGAGAGCTGAGAAATAAACCCACACTTTTATGGTTAATTGGTCTCTGACAAAAGACACAAGACTATGCAATGGGGAAAGGACAGTCTATTCAATAAATGTTGTTTGGAAGACTGGACAGCCACATGCAGAAGAATGAAACCAGATCACTTTCTTATACCACACACAGAAATGAATTCAAAATGGAGCAAAGACTTAAACATAAAACCTGAAACCATAAAACTCCTAGAATAAAACATAGGCTGTAAGCTGACACCAGTTTTAGTGATTTTTTTTTGATCTTTCTCCTTAAGAACAAAAACAAGAGCAAAAATAAACAAATGAGACTATATCAGACTAAAACGTTTTTGCACAGCAAAGGAATTCAGCCAACAAAACAGAAAAACAACGTACTGAATAGAAGACATTTGCAAATGACATATCTGATATCCAAAATATATAAAGTGCTCAAAAACTCAATATAAAAAAACCCAACCAGGCAGAGGGCCTGAATAGACCTTTTTCTAAAGAAGACATGGATGGCCAATGGGCACATGAAAAGATCAACATTCCTAACCATCGTGGAAATGCAAATCGAAACCATAATGAGGAATTATCTCACACCTCTCAGAATGGCTAGTATCAAAGACAAGAAATAACAAGGGTTGGTGAGGATGTAGAGAAAGGGGGACCCTGTGCATTGCTGGAGGGAATGTACTCTGGCGCAGTCCCTCTGGAAAGCAATATGGAGGTTCTTCAAAAAATTAAAAATAGAATTACCCTACGATCCAGCAATTTACTTCTGGGTAATTATCTGAGGAAAATGAAAACACAAATTCAAAAAGATATCTGCACCTCTGTTCATTTCAAGATTACTTACAATAGTCAATATGGAGGCAATCTAAATGCCCATCTATGAACTATTGGGTAAAAAAAGGTGTGGTACGTATATACAATGGAATACTACTCAGCTGATAAAGAATGGAATCTTGCCATTTGTGACAATAGGGTTGGCTCCACAGGCTATTACGCTAAGTGGAATAAGTCAAAGATAAATACTGTATGACTTCACCTACGTGTGGAATCTAAACAACAAAACAGAAACAGACTCAGGGACAGAATGAACTGGTGGTTGCCAAAGGGAGGGGGGATTAAGAGGGACACACTTCCGGGTATATAGTAAGTAAGAGACAGGGACATAACGTACAGCATGGGGAACGCAGCCAATAATATTGTTACAACTTTATATGGTGACAGGTGGTAACCAGACCTATCGTGACGATTTCAACATGTATATGAATCCTGAATCACTATGTGGTACGCCCGAAACGGATACAATATTGTACATCAATTATTCCTCTAGAACAACAATAAAAACTATAAATGAATTGTTTCAGGCTGCAAGCTTTGCCAAAAAACATCCACTGCCTCCGAAAACAATTTTAGTGAGAACAGAGAATACCATGGTCATGATGCACTGGATGACCCTGCCCTTCTGGGGGAAGTGGTGATGGCAGTGGTTGGGGCGGGCTGGGTAGAAGGTAATGCGGTGCACTCCCTTGAGGGAAGGGGGAGTAAGGGTGTCCTCTCTTCTTCAGGAAGGAGGACAGAACAGGTTACCATGGAGCTGTCCTTACCTTGCTGCAGACGGCCTTCACTTTGTGCAGTCGATCCAAGGACTCCTGCGGATTCCCCAGGTACTGCTGAAGCTCTGCATGTAAGATCCGCATTGAAAATGGGACCATGGAGCCTAGAATGGAAGTCAAAGTGGAGTTAGTTTGCTATAACTCAGCACACTTTCATACTTAACACACCTGAAGGAGGGAACTGCTGATGTCCCAGAGGAAGGAAGGACAGAAGCTCTTCATCTGTTGCTAAGGTATGCAAAGGTGTCAGTTATGAAGTAAAGCCATAAATACATATGTTCTAGACAACTATCAAAGGAGAAAGGTGATGTCACTACTGTTTCCATAGCTGTGCTCCAACTAGCGACTGCTTCCTCCTCCAATAAAAGAAACCACAGAACACTCATGGGTTTTTAAAATATTTTTTTGGTATGACAAGCTCAAATAAAAGGTCGCTTATGTTGGGGTGCCTAGAAGGAGACCCTCAAAGGAGGCTCTGCAAGCAAGTAAGAATGTGGCTGATGCAGGTCCAGGGAAGGAAAGTGAGCAAAGGTGCGTCTCAGGTCCAGGTCCCGAGGATGGAGCTTCGCCCGATTCGGCAATGTGTGTGTGTGTGTGTGTGTGTGTGTGTGCGCGCGTGTGCACACATGCATGTGTGTGGCTCTGCAGCAAAGGCTCTCTCCCTCAGAGGTGCCCCCACAGAAGGTAAGGGAGCTGGACTTGGAAACTCCACCCTCCAGGCTCGCCTGGCAGGGAACACTCCATCAGTGTGCTGAGGGGGAATGAGAGCAGTTCTCTGAAGAAGGGCTGCACCTGAAATGAACTTATACACAGTATCTGGATGTGGCTGCACTGTCCCTCAGAACAAGGGAATCTTTTTATTAATATCATGCTCCTTCCATAGGATTTGGAATTTGACATACAGTAAATACAGGAAGTACATAAAAACCATCAAAATTGCAAACAGCCTAAAAAAAATTGCAAACAGCCTAAAAAAAATTGCAAACAGCTTGTTGTAAGTGAGGTAATGGATATGAACATGACAACACAGGGTGATCTTGAAGAGTCAGAAGAGGGCTTTCAAAACAGACTGGAGGCGTCAACTGTTTAGATACAGTTTGGAAGATGGTTAGAAAACAAGTTGTGTGACACCTGCAAGTGACTCCCTCTCTGTGCCTGGGTCTGCCCACCTGCCTGACCATTAATCAACAGGGAGAGTCTGTCATGTACCACACTAAGATGGCTTCTCAACTGACCTTCTTCTTACCTTGAAATGGTATGATGCTCTATGGTCTTTAATAAAGATGGAAGAAAGATTTACAGGGGTCACAAATAAGGAACTCCACAAAAAATAGGTTCTGCAGTGACTGTAAGTCCAGAGGAAAGAAAGATGACAATTATTGAATTTTAAATGTCTGTTTTTTTTTTTTTTTTTTTTTTTTAGGGATACTAAATAATTCCTATGTTTAAAGAGGATGGATAAAAAAAAAAAAAAAAGAGGATGGATGATTGAGTTTACACTCTGGAATGAGTTGTTTCTACTTCCTAGAAAGAAAAGTGTCTTGACATGAGCATCACTAAGTATGGGACTGTGCTAACATGGTAGGCCATGCATTAGCTGTGTCATTTCCACCCCTTCATATCACGTAAACAATAGGCAATGATCATTCCCATGTGGGTGAGAATTCACCTGCAGAGAGAGAATATCTTGAGAACTCTGTAGGTTCTGTAAAATAAGCACAAAAACAAACTGTCTACTGCATGTTCTCAAACCCAATTTATAAATGAACTGGATACATGATGAGGTGGTAGGGAGTAATTTGCTACATATTCTGGCAAATGTCCACACACCAGAGGAAGTTCCTGCATTTAAAAGGACATGCAAAATCATGTGGAGCTAAATGAGAGTGAAAACACAACTTATCAAAATTTGTGAGATGCTGCAAAAGCAGTGCTAAGAGGGAATTTTACAGCATTATATGAATATATTTGAAAAGAAAGAAGATTTTAAAATCAATCAACAGGGAAAACCAACCAAACTCAACGTTGGTTTTTGACAAATTTAGTAAAATTGATAAACCTCTAATCAGGCTAACAAAGATATAAGAGAGAAGACATGAATTACTAATATTAGAAATAAAAGAGGGGTCATCACTACTGACCACATGGATATTAAAAGGATAATAAAGGAATTTTTTTAGAGATTAATTAATTAATCTATTTATTTGAGACACAGAGCGCGCGCGCGCGCGAGGAGAGAGAGAGAGTGCGGCAGAGACACAGGTAGAGGGAGAAGCAGGCTCTATGCAGGGAGCCTGAAGCGGGACTTGATCCCGGTTCTCCAGGATCACACCCTGGGCTGAAGGCGGCGCTAAACCGCTGAACCACCCGGGCTGCCCCAATAAAGAAATATTTAAAACAATTCTATATCCACAAATTTTGTCACCTAGATGAAATGGACCAATTCCTTGAAAGACACAACTTGGCAAAAAATCACACAAAGAGGAAGAGATAATCTGAATGGGCCAATATCTATTTAGAAAGTCAAATCAAGGGGGCAGCCCGGAAAACAAACAAACAAACAAACCCAAAAAAACAAAACAGGGCAGCCCGGGTGAGCTCAGCGGTTTAGTGCCACCTTCAGCTCAGGGCCTGATCCTGGAGATCCTGGATCGAGTCCCACGTCAGGCTCCCTGCATGGAGCCTGCTTCTCCCTCTGCCTGTATTTCTGCCCCTCTGTGTTTCTCATGAATGAATAAATAAAATATTTAAAAAAAAAGTTAAATCAAGAAATAACCTTTCAAAACAGAAGGCACCAGGCCCAGATGGTTTCACTGGTGAACTTTACCAGACGTTTAAGGAAGAAATGATATCAATTCTTTACGATCTCTTTCAGGAAATAGAAATACAGGAGATATTTCCTTATTTATTCTATGAGGCTAGCAATAACCTAGTAACAAAAGTAGACAAAGACATTATGGGAAAAGAAAACTATACACCAGCATGGTTCAGGAATGCAGATATAAACATTCTCAACAAAATTAGCAAATCAAATCCAACTACATTGAATCCAACAAAAAATTAGCAAATTAAACCCAAAGGTGTATAAAAAGAATTATATGCTATGACCAAGTGGTATTTATTCCAGGTATGAAAGGCTGGTCCAACACTCAAAAATCAATGTAACTCATCACATTAAAGAGGCTAAGCAAGAAAAGTCACATAGTGTACCAATAGATGCAGAAAACGCATTTGAGATGTGGTCTCAGGATTGAGTCTCACATCAGGCTCCCTGCCTGGAGCCAGCTTCTCCCTCTGCCTACATCTCTGCCTTTCTCTCTGTGTGTCTTTCATGAATAAAGGTTTTAAATAAAATCTTAAAAAAAAAAAAAAAGAACAGGACACGAAGTTAATCTGCAGAAGTCAACTGGGTTTGACTTACCACACCAGCAATGAAGAACTGAAATTTGAAATTAAAAACACAATACCATTTACGTAAAACACAATATTATTTACGTTAGCACTAACATAAATGAAATAGTAAGATATAAATCTGGCAAAATATGTACAAAGGCTATATGAGGAAAACTGTAAGGCTCTAGTGAAAGAATCAAAAAAGACATGAATAAGTGGAAAGATGCTCTATGTGAACTGACAGGAAGACTCCACACTTGTCAGTTCTCAGAACTTGATCTGCAGCTTCAAATCACAATCAAAACCCCCATGTTATTTTGTGGACACTGACATAGTGATTCTCAGGTTTTTGAGGAGAGGCAAAAGACTGTAAATATCCAATACAACATTGAAGACATGGGCAAAGTTGGAGAACAGACACCACCCAACTTTAGACTTACATAAAGCTACTGTAACAAAGACTGTGACAGTAGCAAAAGAACAAAATAAATATAGCAATGAAACAGAACAGAAAGCCCAGAAATAGGCCTCATAAATATAGTCAACTGATCTTTGACAAAGAAGTAAGGGTAAGTCAATGGAGAAAGGGCAGTTCCTTCAGCAAATGGTGTTGGGATGACTAGACATGTATGTGCGGGGAGGCGGGGGGGGGATCAATCTTAACACAGACCTTCCATCCTTCACAAAATTTAACTCAAAATGGGTAATATCTAAATGTAAAATGCAAAACTGTTAAAACTTCTAGAACAGAAAATAAAGAAAATTTAAGTGACTTGGGTTTAGAGATAACTTTTTAGATACAAAGCCAAAAACATGATCCATGAAAGAAAAAAAGATGGACTCGTTAAAATTAAAAACTGCTCTGTGAAAGATGATGTCAAGAGAACAAGAAGATAGCCAAAGTCTGGGAGAAAATATTGGCAAAACACACTTCTGATAAGGGATTTGTATCCAAAAGATACAAAGAGCTCTTAAAAAAATCAACAGTAAGAAAACAACTCAATTAATAAATGGACAACAGATCTGAACAGGTACTTTGACAAAGGTATACAGAAGACAAATTATCATGGAAAATGTTTCCTATCATACATATGTCATTAGGGAGCTGCAAACCGCAAATTAAAACAACAAGGCAATAATATCAGCAGATACCCATCAGAATGGTTGAAATCCAGGAAGCCGACAACACCAAATACTGGTGAAAATGCAAAATGATACAACTGCTCTGGAAGAGAGCCTGGCCATTTATTACGAAACTAAACACAGGTTTACCATATAATCCAGCAGTAGTGCTTCTAGGTATCTATCCAGTAACTTCAAAATTTATGTCCAAACAGAACCCTGAATGAGAATGTTGATGGGAACTTTATTCTTAATTGCCAAAAACCAGAAGCAGCCACGATGTCTTTTGATAGGCGAATGAATAAATTGTGGTATACTCAGACAACTGAATATTTTTCGGCAATAAAAAGAAACATGCTACCAAATCACAAAAGACTGTGAGGAATCCTAAACACACATTGCTGTGTAGAAGAAGCCAGCATGAAAAGGCTACATATGAGATGATTCCAGCAATAAGACAACCTGGGAGAGGCAAAGCTATGAGGACAGTAAAAGGATCAGTGGTTTCCTGGGGTGGGGTAGGGGGTGGCGGGTGGGGGGTGGGAGGAAAAACGATGTTAAGGCAGTGAAACTACCCTGCAGATATTCT